GCGCACCGAGAAATCTTATATAGTATTGTGGAAGTCGATTAATGGAGAGGAAGCAGGTTGCCAAATGTTCCAATCATGCTTTAAATAAGTAAAACACGCATGTTTCAAACGTTTGTAAATCATTTTTTGTGTACGCATTTTAAACACGTGTTTAACTCAATTATCGGATTGCTAGAGTGTCCATTGTCATGGCATCCACAACTATAGTATATGCGTCGTGGCGGGCGCTTTCTAGCCACACCGCTCGGGAAGCGATCCACTACAAGATGGGCCTAGTGGATGTGCGGGCCGGACGCGGGCCTCAAGGAGGACATACAGTACCAGCATGCTTCTGTGCGTCCCAGGTGAGGCATCCGAGAGCCCCTCCCACTCGGCCGTCCATGGGGGGGGCGCCTCTGAGGTCCGCGCGCGCGGGCCTGAAGGCCAGGCACCCCTACTATCACTCCTCCGCCGAGATCCGCGATGAGGCGCGGCGGCTGGCCGCGGCCTGCGGCGGCAAGCTCGCCCTCAGGACCGTGAACGATTCGGAGGCCGCCTCGCCACGGAAAGGCGTCCACGCCTTCTTGCCTCGGGCGGGGTCGGACCCCGAGATTTCGAGGACCCCGGAAGATGTTTTGGAGGTTGACCAGAGGATGTTTGCGGGCGCGAAGACGTTTTGATATTCACCGGAAGACTGGCGGCGCGAAGATGTGTTGGAGATTCGTGGGAAGTTCTTCTGGGAGATTCCAGGGCGGTCGCGTCTGCCATAGAAAGTCGGCCCAGTCTAGATCTCGAGGACGCCTCGAGGAGTGGTGGGCATGGCTATCTGCGCGCTCCCGAGGGCGGGGACCCCCCCCTTCCCCCCAGGAGGTCCACCGCACCCCCCCTTCGCTCCCCAAGCGGTCTCTCCACCCCCCCGCCCCCCAAGAGTTCCACCGCCCCGGGCCCCCGCCCCCCCAAGAAGTCCACCGCCCCTCCCCGTCCCCCAAGAGGTCCACCGCCCCCCCCCCCCGCCCCCCAAGACATCCCCCCACGCCCCCTAAGAGGTCCACCGCCCGCGCCCCCGCCCCCCCACGAGGTCCCCTCGCCCTCCCCGCCCCCCAAGAGGTCCCCTGAGGGCGGGGTGTCCACCGCCCCCCCTCGCCCCCTAAGAGCTCCATGACAGAGCTCGAGCAGCGGTGGGGGTGCGGGTGCCGTTTGCTGCTTCTTCCCTCGGGCTCTCTGGCGCTGCGAGCGCATCGCGGCGGGCGCCTCCTCACCGATCTCGGCCCGCACGGCTCGATCCAGCTCGAAAGAGAAAGAGAGAGAGAGGCTGCAAGCAGAGAGGCTCGGGACGTCACTTGTCTTTGCGGCGCTCTGAGGCTTCGCGGGATGGGGGGAGGAAGTCGGGAGGACGAGAGACGGGAAAAGGATAGTGGAAGGAGGAAGAATGCGGGATGATGAGAAGTGGTGAGGGAGGGCGGGATGCTGGAGGGATCATGAGGAGGATGCACATGATAAGGTTGGTGGACAGGTTGGAGGAGGAAGAGGAGGAAGACAATGGAGGAGGCTGGCGATGAAGACGGATCTGATAAAGCCGTTGACCATGACCATGGCCATGACCAGTATCAGGAGCAGGAGGAGGATCAGGAGGGGTGTGCCACCCTTCTGTCTGGCGGCTTCTTGAGGCCGCTGGCGAGCTTCCCGTGGACGGGGACGACGACGACGACGACGACGACGACGACGACGACGACATCGACGATGGATACCAGGGAGCACTGGTCACAGGTCGGCATCGACGTGGTCCGGGTCCGCGACAGCACTGCGACCCCTATGCGGGACGATCGAAATGTTTACGGAAATAATGCTTACAAAGACCGACAGCAGTTCCTGTTCAATTTGCACATGACTCGCTGTCCGCGCCGCCGCGGACATTGTTCAGTGAAGACAAAAAACCGCCTGCCCAACAGCGGCCGCTGCTGGTTTGGGACAACATGTGTTGTTGGGCATTGTGCCCATTTATGCCGTACCCATTTCGGGCGTCCAAACCCATGAATCGTGTCTTCCTCATGTTCGGGGAGCACAGCCGCGAGCTGATCTCCCCAGAGAGCGGGCTCCGGCTTCTCAAGGTGCTCTGCGGCGAGAGGGATTCGGCCGGTCACGACATCCCTCAGATCCTGAAGCACAGTGAGTTCGAGATGGTGCTCAACGGCAACCCCCGCTCCAGGCTCAAGGTAGAGGACGGTGATTTCTGCCTTCGCGCCAACCCCGACGGCGTCGACCTCAACAGGAACTGGGACGAGAAGTGGCTCACCCAGCCGAAGTCCGCGGAGACAAATCCGGGACCCAAGCCTTTCAGTGAGCCCGAGACGCGCATCTTCAGAAGCTTGGTCACGGAGTTCAAGCCCACCACATTTGTGACCGTTCACAGTGGGACCCGCGGCCTGTACATGCCCTACGCCTACGATGAACACCTGGCCAGTCGAAACAAGGTCGACATGCTCCGCATCCTCAAGGAGCTTGACTCATCCTACTGCGAGTGCCCGTTCGGCGCGGCGGGCAAGGAGGTCGGATACGACTGCCCGGGCACAAGCCTGGACTGGGTCTACGACAAGATGCAGACACCGTACTCGTTCGCTTTCGAGATCTACGTCGGGGGCGATGACGCCTCCCTCAAGCAGCGCTGGAAGGAGAAGGTGAGGACGGGCGGCGTCGCCCTCATACAGCAGGGAGAGAACCTGGCCCATCCCCACTTCAAAGACCTGTTCATGCACCACGCCTCCGACTTTGTGCAGACGGCGTCGTCTGTCAATGGTACTAGTTCGTCGCTCCTGGGGATGGACGACTTGCAGTGCTTCAGCTTCTACAACCCCGACTCCAAGAAGCGGTGCCAGGAGGGCGGAAAACTGTACACTTCGCAAGTGCGCGGACGGTGTCTCCGCTGGCGCCAGACCCTCTCCCCACCCCCGTCTCGCTGCACGAAGCGCGCCAGTGGTGTCGTCTCGGTGGGAAAACTGTCCGCGGACCTGCGAAGTTTGTTTGTGTTTGTGTGTGTGTGTGGGTGTGTGTGTTCAACTCTGTTTTTTTCGTTCTCGTAGGTACGACAGAACCGTGCAGAACTGGGCCATCGCTTACCTGGACCTGTCACAGAAGGTGGTCGACCACATGCGAAGCAACATGTCGGCGATCTGAAGGGCTCGCCTCGGGTCAAACTCACCCCGTGTGCAGGATGATGACGATGATGATGATGATGCTGATGCTGATGCTGATGATGATGATGATGATGATAATGCTGCTGCTGCTGATGATGATGATGATGATGATGATGATGATGATGATGCTGTTGCTGATGATGATGATGATGATGATGATGATGATGATGATGCTGACGCTGATGCTGATGCTGATGCTGATGATGATGATGAGGACAGATCTGGGAGGGCCGAGGAGGATGCGTAAGAGGGTGAGGAGGATATGGCGGCATGAAGGAGGAGGGGAGGAGGAGGAGGAGGAGGAGGAGGAGGAGGAGGAGGAGGAATAAGCGAAGGAGAACGAGGAATAGTCTGCTTATGGAAGATTACATGGGGTGGGGGTTGACGAATGGGGAGAAGAGAGCGGAGGGAATGGAGGGGAAGATTGACGAGGAAAATGATAAGCTGGAGGAGAAGGACTGCGAGGATGATGATGATGATGCTGATAATGCTGATGATGATGATGATGATGATGATGATGATGATGATGGTGCTGGTGCTGCTGCTGATGATATTGAGACGACTACGATGGTGATGATTGAGCTGATGCTCAGGATGATGATGAGGATGATGATGGGGATGACGATTGTGGCGATGATCATGCTGATGATGCTGATGATAATGCTGATTATGCTTCTGATTATGGTGGCGATGGTGATGGTAATGGTGATGATGCTTCTGTTGCTGCTGCTGATGATGGTTGCGATGATGACGACGATGATGCCTATCAAGATGATGCTGCTGCTGCCGGTGGTTATTCGTGTGACGATGATGATCATGATAATGCCGATGATGATGCTGATTATGCAGATGATGCTGATAATGATGAGGATGCTGATGCAGATGATGACGATGATGATGATGATGCTGATGCTGATGCTGATGCTTATGATGATTCTGATTGCGATGATGATGGCGATGACGATGACGATGATGATGATGATGATGATGATGATGATGATGATGATGATGATGATGATGAAGATGATGATGATGATGATGATGATGATGATGCTGATGATGATGATGATGATGATCATGCTGCTGCTGATGATGATGATGATGGTGATGATGATAATGATGATGTTGATGATGGTGATGATGATGACGATGCTGATGATGAGTTTTAGGATATATTGCAGGCTGGACATGAGGATTGGGTGGAAGAGGATCCTACTCTATCAAGTTCTAGGTCATGGAGGCCCGGAAGAACGAACGCGCGAACCTGTAGGCTTCTGAGGCAGGGTCTGTACTACATCTGTACCACAGTATGCGTGGCCGGCGAGCACAATCCCCGAGTTGGGCTTGCAGGCCCAGCCAGCGTCCCAAGGGGCGCGCAGCCCCCAGTGGAGCAAGCCATCGGGCTCGACTGGCTGTCGGGCCGAGCGAAAAGAACCGAGATCGCAGCCATGCCCGAGCGAGATCGCAGCCGAGCCCGAGACGATGGCGACGGGAGAAGGATGGAAGGAAGGATGCCAGGCCACTGCTTACGGCTCAACTGGCGCTTGCTCGACGGGGGATTACACGAGGCACGTGCCACTGAGATTGGGGGGGTGCCTCCACTCTCGGAATCCGGCGCGCAGCAAGATAGGTACCGGTGGCACAAGCTACGGCACTTGCTGGGACGGTGCCTCGGGCTGCGAGCGATGCAAGGCTCTCACTGCTGGCCATCAGGTCTCTCATGTTTCGACCGAGCGACTGAGTTCCTGCTCAATTGGTCCCCGAGGCTCTGGTCCTGCCATTGGGGTGGCCTTCTCGTCGGTCATGAGCTTGAGCATGATGTTGTGGAAGCTCCGGCCCAGATTCTCGAAGCGCGGGAAGTACCATTGGATATGGCACTCCTGATCCTTCTTGCCGTTCTGCTTCTTGTGCTGCTTGATCTGGAAGCTGAGTCTGACGAGGCCAACGTCGGTGATCGTGAGCGTCTTGAGCTTGTTCACCGGCTGGGTCGTGCCCTGCTTGGTGGGCAGCCTCCGCTCCCGCCGCATATAGTGGAGGCTCGACGGCGCGCAGAAGATGTGGGGAGTCGGCCAGCGTGAGTCGCCTCATCGTCTGCATCCTGCATCCCAAAATCGGGCTCGATTGTACCTCTCGGGCGAGAGGTGGTCATGTAGGGCAGCGCTACCTTGGGCCAGGTAGAGCCGGACGTGGGCACGACGCTCGTTATCGTAGCCCCCCCTTGACCTCCTTCGAGGTCAGGAGGGGCGGAGCCGAACGTCGAGCCATGTCCAATCACCTTGGCCTTGCCACTGGCTCTTGGCTGGCCGCCGCCTGCCGCCCCAACCCTTGACCTTCTCGCCGCCCGCCTCGTCGCACCCTCGTGGCCTACCCTTGCCAGCGCAGAGCTGGGCTGAGAGGAAGGAGTCCGCGCTTTCTTTCCCGACCTGAAGTGTGCCACTCCTCGGCGTGGCACGGGCCGTGGAGGCATATGCTGGCAAGTGCAAGTCCACTGGGTGGCTGCAGAAAGAAAGAGAGAGAGAAAGAGTCGACATCAGCAAGCAACTCGTCGCACAGTCGGCATTGCAACGAGGACGGTGAGGGTAGCGGCGTCAGGGTGGTGGTCAAGTGGGCAAGCACGCACCCCTCAGCATAGCCCCTTGAAGATGACGAGCAACAATCGTACCGTTCCAGAAGACTTGACGACATGCGATGCATGTGCTGTAAAGCACAGCACGGCAGCATAGCATTGTTACGGTGATGATGAGCGGTGCGTCAGTGATTGAGGATGCCCTTCCTGTTGGCGAAAGCCTCCCTGCATTCAGAGACCTTACGGCAATAAGGTCGTTCAACTTCGGGACAGGCAGGATGGGCAGCACGGTGGGGATGAGCTGCCGTCCATTTGGGCGGGGAGTGCTTGCATTCATTTTTGTGGTGAAGTCGAGCTCCGCAAACTCGCTGACCCAGTCAGCATCTTGCCAGAAAACGGAGATCCTGAAGAAGGGTATACAGTCATTCCCAATCCGTAATTTGGCTAGCTGAGATGATATCCTCCAGGAGCTGACTGACCCAGGAAGACGCATAACCTGTAAGCTGCCCTTCCATCCACGGCAGGCGACGTTCATCGCTAGGCATGGTTCCCGCGAGAGCACAAAAGAACCTGCGAATGCCCGCGGGGTCCCACGCCAGAATGTGATATTAACGATGCTGGCGCATTTGCAGTTCGAGGCGAGAGCCCACCACCTTCTACCATGTAGGAACGTTGGAGTTAGTGAAAAAATGGTAGGGCTTGCCCTCTTAGTCGGTCCATTTCCCCATCATGCATACTCTAGCCAGAGGACAGATCATCGCGACCCCTGAGGACGATCATCGCGATCCTCGCGATCCCTGAGGACAAAGGCTTTACGGGTGGACAGGAGACTGGTTTGGGCAAGCCCAATCAGAAGTGATCTCTTCAAACTGTGGAGCACTGATAATGATCAAGCACCGGCCAGCGAGTAGAACGCCTTGCGTGACCTAGTGCCACGGCGAGCCACCTCGCGATGGCCAGTGCTTGTCATGGCAAGGAAGGGTCCAAGGTATTGAGCTTCAGTTGTCGGTGCGTCTTGGAGTACAAGAGCCGCTGGTATGCGAAGTAAGCGTCGAAACTGCGTCGCACCCTCATCAGCACAGTGACGGAGGTGTTCCTGCTTTGATCGATTTTGTTGAATTTCATATTCGTCCAATTCTCCGTCGAGCCAGTTGTCAAACTGGCTCAGCTTGAAGATCGGCGATTGGAACTCAGCACCGTTGACTGCGAGGACAAACTTTGGTAATTCATCAGGTAAGCCCAAGTCTGCCGTGTCATCTCCCCAAGCGGCGCGGAGTGCCGACGCCAGTGGATCCAAATATTGAAGCCGATGCATCCATAAAGTTACAGGTATCATACACGAGGAGAGGAATCGGTTGACGATGAAAGAGTCGCCCATGACCTATCTCTGTCCAGGCTGAAGCGTTACGTGCGTGTCACTTCCTGGGAGCTCACCACCGAGTGCCTGCAGCGCTCGCGACACTGAGGCTGATTGCAGGCGCTCGCTCTTTGAGGCGAAGGCATTCGTCATCTCTATGAGCGTCAGGACAAGTGAGCGGCGAGCTGTTCGTAGTCTCCGTGTGATGGCTTGCGCGGTCATAATCGAGTCCTCTCGCCGTCGTCCAAACACGCAGCCGTGATCACGAAGAGTCGAGGCTGGTTTGAGACGCTTGACGAACCGAGCTTTTCCCGCCATTGGGAGGAAGCGAACAACGCGGCGAAAACGAGGTCCCCGCAAGTGTGTGTGTGTGTGTTTGTGTGTGATTGGGAGGCGGTGCACCTCGGGAGCGATACCAATAGAGAGGCGACTGCTGATAAATCCGTATCGTACGGAGCCTTTCCTGGGCCAGATCCTACAATAGTGGAACTCGAGGTGGAGAAATATTCGCTCCCGCCCAAGCCTTCAGTCGAATGCAACGCCTGAGGGTGAACATAAGATGCCAGACCTTTAGCCAGTGTTTAGCCAGGGTAGACTGCGCGCCGCTTGGGCTCCGAACTGCCATGGCGACGCATGTCCTGCAGGTCGGTTCCGACGTGGTTGCAGAGGGCCTCGGAGTCCAGCGCGGTCGTGTCAGTGGGCGACGGATAGTCTTCACCGTCAAGTTGTGCTCGCCACTCGCCCCAAGAAACTGCCCGCGCAGACGTACCACCAGCACCGCCGCGACGTTTCCATGCATCGAGCCACTCGGTAGAGGGGTGGGAAGCCCGCTTCGAATGTGTTGTTCATCCCGTTGTTTGGCACTGTGCCTGCGTGGAGCCGCCAGTATGCACGCCCGCGCATCTTCAGCAGGTCGATTACGTCAAATAGCCTCGTCGGCAGGCTTGCCGGCGCTCTGGGCCCGACATCTTCGTGGTCAGCCGCAGCCCATCAGTGATGTGGTTGCACTGGGCCTCGACGTCGTCGGGGGACGATGTCGCTCTAAACCTGCTGCGTT